CTTAGTTAATTCAATGTATTATAAGTCCCGATAAAAAAGTTTTGCAAATAATGTAGTACTAATCGATTATTTCGCTCTATTTTCAAACTTTTGACTATAATTTACCTATCAGATATCTCTTTAATACAAGCAAAAAACTTTGATGTATTGGATATTAGAAGCCAATCATCAGGATCCCTTGCAATCAAATAGTATATCACCTATGTATCCAGTGGATTTTTGAACTGTAATATCTATTATATAATGTTAACTGTGAATAATAAAGAGATAACAACGCTAAAGTGGATCTTTTACAAGTAAAAATTGTTTGCTTGAACACTGAAATTATTGCATTATGCTTACGTGTAGTAATCATGAAAGTTGGAAAACTATCATTGCATATCACCTTAATAAACAACTCTATACAATGATTAAATGATGATACTTATTTGAGATATGTTTTATTCATTCTATTTGAGCATGATATTGACTATATTATCGACTCATTTTTCAAGCCCTTTATAATTCCTTTGCATTTTGATAAAAATAATTTGTGTGAGTTGCCTCTAAAATGTTTGCGTTCTAACTGAATCATAAAATTTTCGTATAGATTGTTATCATAATAATAAAAATGATATGAACGAAGGCAAAATAATCATAATGATAAGTAGTATATCCTGTAATTGATTTAGCTATGTAGCTGCTTTTGATAAAATCCATGTTCTATCAGATAAATACATACATAATATAATCTTTAGCAAACCACATTATAAACATACTGATTTACAGCTGAATTGCATGATAACACCAACTATTGAAGACTCCCAGTTGACAGATGAAACAACCGAATGGATTGCCCAGTGTAAATGAATATTTAACTATGCTGAAAAAACACAGATACACTTCTGATATACAAGACTAACAACTTCTCTCTATCCCCAATACTTTATGTCTTACTAAGCTACGAAAATATCAGAGAATAAAGGTTGAACTGTAACTGTAAAAATGATTTTATCAGACAAAGGCGTATCATGTAAAATCAATTCTTTGCATATAAAAACATATCGAGAAAATTATTACTTAGATAATTCCCATTGGTCCACTGAAGTATCGATCATTTCACTAAGATTAAACGGATTATGCAGCAGAATGGATCAAAACTAAAGCTGAAAACTTCTATCATAGTATTTAATGAAATCTTCAAAAAAGGAGCTATATTTTTTGAACAATGTCTGAATAGCACGAAGCACAGTATTTACTTCTTAAGCCTAAACCCTACAATTCCTTACACTCATCATACTAGTAGAGGTTCTAGCAACATAGACAAGATATGAACGTCCAAGTAGTTGTACAACTAGACATTATGTATTCTATCAAATCTCCTCTATATCTGATTGTACTCAGTCGCTGATTGTCGTTTCTTTTAGGGGAATAACTGTTTTGAATAGATTTTAGTACATAATAGAAAGGTTCCATTTTCCGTTTCATTGTTTCGTTATTTTAATATTGTCTCAGCAATAAATCCTAAGTGAACCTGTAGGTTTAGTTAACTCAGTTAACCTGTAAGCGGTATATCGCGGTTATGGTCCGTACTCTACCTACCAATATTTGGGTAGCTATTATTGTCTGATATTCTCCGAGCTTTGATAATACGATTTAGAAGAAATAAGCCCATTAATACGCTCGCACTATATCAGTGTGTCACCAGTCATCGATTTTGGTTATCTCGAGGACCTCACCCACGGGAAATAATGTTTCTTTAAACACCTCCCACACCAAAAGTCACAAAAACCACGTAAAAATTTGTAGTTCTCTCCCAATATAGTTCTATTCCAGCTAACACGACACGGTTAAATAGACTCTGGCTGGGTATATGTAAACAGATTCCAACCACATTAATTGATGAATTTTCAACCTCTCTAACTGGCAAAACTGGATACTCGTCATGTATCAGTCATTAAAAGTTAATAAAACTTGAAATCAACTTTCATTTCGTTCAGTTGTATACAATCATGGAAAACTGGACGCATTCACTGCAATGACTAACTCCATTAACAGGGAAACCTTTTAAGAACAAATTAGCACAAACATTTCAACTACTCATAAGTAGTCAAACTTATGCTAAGAAGTTTACTGCTAACTCAACATTGTTACATTCACACATCTATCACAATGAACACAAACACTCCTAATTATCAATGAATCAAGTTACGTGGAGAAAAAAAAGGATACAAACTGATATCTAACAATTTTCTTAAAACTTAATGACGTCAACTTATCTTGTATCTGTTGTTCGCTGTGTTGCTCACCAAAACAAGAAAAAAATTGTGACAACAAATATGACAATAGATTAATGGGGAGTACAAAAAATATTTAACAATTAATAATAATAACAATAGTGTTTGATTCTCATTGTTTAAATTATTTCTTTGTTTGTTTGTACATTTCACTTTCCATCTATTTTTTTTTCTGTTTTACTTCAAAAATATTCTGCTTTTAAAACAGCTTAACTTTTAAGTAACACATCTTTTGTATACACTGTAGGTCAACTAATTTAGTCTGTTATCTAAAGCGAATAAACGGACAAACAAACTGATAATGATGATGATGACAATAGGTAATAGACTCTTCAGTTTACTGTTTATTATGTCTGTCTTATGTGTATGTATGTGTGCATGTTTGTTTCGCGTACACAAATATAAATGGCAAATATGATCTTGGATATGCTTATATGAGAAGAGGTTTACACAAGAGAAGGATAAAGAATTCCCACTAAATATCTCCTTTTTTTAAAGTTACTAACAATTGAATTCGCTCACAGAGATTAATATAGAAGAGATAAAAAAAGGAGGGGGGAGGAGAATGGAAGAGTGTAAGGTAAGAACCAGAGATGAAGGCATGTCATCTAACAGGCTGATAAGTAAATAAATGAGTGAATAAGTCAATTGGTGGATGGATAGATGAGTACACTACCAGAAAAATGAGGTTAACAACACTACAATTCATGCACGTTTACATGTGTTTGTGTGTGTGTGTTTACATATATGCATAAATCAGAAGCAAGTATACTGGATATTACTGGGATCTCTTAGATTCTACTAGCTACTCACAATTATTCATTACCTAAATACGCAAATAATACAGTTATACAACCCATTTTCTACTAATAAACCACAAACTACTCAATGGTGAAGCCACATTTACTGACATAGTAGTAGATAACTTTGCATTTTCAGGTTGTTTCAGACTGAATATTAGAGAAATTGAAGTGAGGATTATTCTCATTTCAAGATATCAGTAGTAGTAGTAGTATAGAGATAATGAAAAAAATGAAACAGCAAATAACAATAATGATGACTTGCGTTAATGATAATTGCAACAAAAAATTTAATAAGGACACAAACATAGTCTATTATTAAGTATAATGTCTTAAAAAGTATGTATATACCTTTTGTTAAATCACCATGACAAGAAAAAGAAAAATAATCATAAAAGGTGGATTTCCTTCCTTCTGATTGGTACTAATCTATCCAATCACTCATCATCTATCATAGCATAAAATATCCACAATGAATCACATACATCATTATTCACTTTTTTGGTTCCAAATGAGGAGGGGGGCAAGGGTTACTGAAGTTTAGGCTGTAAAAAAATACATCAGAAATGTACTTTGAAAAGGTTTTATAAAGTATATCTAAAGACACTTCAATTCATCAACTACTGGGATAAATATGAATATTCGTATGTTTAACAAGGAGAAATAGAAAGAAAGTGAGAATGAGTTAGAGAATAAATGTAATCAAGAATAAGCAAATATGCTTGAGCAATACACATGGATTACAAGAACTCAATGGTATGACAATGACGGTGATAATGATGTTTACTTATAGTAAATATCAAAGAAAACGAAAACTTTATGATATCGACAAAGAAATATCTCAATTTTACTGATGAATTTTAAAATAACCGGTAAACAAAAATAAATGTCCTTTGTATGAGTGTTTGCGTGTGTGTGTGTGTGTGTGTTTATGGCAAGTCAGGAGAAATTCCTCCCACTAGAAAATAAAGATAATATTAATTTAATTAAATAAAAGAAAATGAATGAATCGTAAAAAAATATAATTTTTCTCACTGTAATTTTGGTTGAAGTGATTCCTCGATGGCTGATTCTCGTCTCCTTGTTTGTCACTTTTTTTTTTAATGATTTATTTTAATCATCTTGTCACATCAGAAGTAGTCTTCTTCAATGATGAATGTTTCTATATTTCTGAACCACGCAAAGATGGTTGATGTATGCATATGAAAAAAATAATAAGTGTAATGCAGTGAAATACCGGTATGCATGCACGTATTATAAATTGATCTACAAGTTTTGATGTATGAAAAGTAACATCAGAGTTGTGTATGAGTTGAGGTATTGTATAACCCAGTAATCTAATGATAGCGATTTAGAAATCCATCAAACAACATAGAGAGAAGATACCTCAATGTAATTGTTGAAACTTATCTATGGGTAAATGAAAATAGCTGTCAAACTGGTGAAAAGGCGAATCAGAATCACATAAAATGAGAAGTGAATATGCACTTGCGACAATTTAAACTAATTTTATTTTACCTACTTAAATATTTTAAAGTAGTATTACGCATTAAGTAAAATATTAGCAGACTTTTATGATCAATACACCAATCATTGATAGTTTCTGCATAAAATAAAGTAATGAATGTAGTAAATGAAAAGTGTTTTTTTTACTTGATGACAATTGAATTATTCATCAGAATATCAATTTCTGAGAATCAGAAAAGCATACAAGTGACCGGGATATTTAACAACATTTTGCTGATGAAAATGAATAGAGTAGCACATAATAAAATATTGTAAGTCATCTATCCAATCCGAAGAGTACAACAGCACACAAGGGGAAAAAAGGCAGGAAAAGATGTGAAAGCGATAATGAGACACTCTGAAATCAGAAGTTCTACTTATCAACTCAACTGTACACCCTTATAAATTCATAAAATAATTAAAAAGCAGAAAAGTAACACTCTCTGTTGTTTGTAGTTGTGGTATCTTTCTTTTCAATACCATTTGATGCGATTATATTATCATCTTGACTAACAGGACTAAAAGAATCCGATTCTCCATCAAATTTACCATTTCTTAGACACTTCTCTTCACTATTGTCTAAAATATTATCACAAGTTTTTCCTCGACGATTCATAAAATAATCTGTCGTAGAATAAGAGTTATTTTTCCGTCTATCAATTATATCCTTCATATTTCCTTCAAATATAGGCAAATGTTGTGGTACATACTGATGTCGACGTCTTCGTTTACTAGAATTCATAGTTTCTGAGTGTTTTTGAAAAGTTAATGGCGCTGAATTCAAATTGTGGGCATGCTGTTGTTCTTGTCCTAAGTAAAACGGAGTTTGATTATCAGTGTCAGATTTCATATCATCACTGCTGTTGTTACTATTCTGGTTATTGTTGTTGTTGTTATTATTATTATTATTATTCAACTCCATGCAATCAGTACCATCACCAATATCAATATATCCATCAGTGAGTTGATTGATTTTGTTGAATGAACAACTTTTTTCCTTATCACACTTAGCGAATGAATTTATCATCTTATTCTCCTTGTTACCAGTATCAACATTTACTGATTTATGATTCAATAGTCTTCATCCCTTGAACTTCAGCATGATCTTTATTGCGGTTATTCTGAAATCCATCGTGTTCATTAAGGTTGTATAATTCCCTGTTTGAAAAGCTACGTTTAAGTGTTCTATTCATCAGTGCTACTGAATAGCCATCGTCATTACTCATTCCTAGCTTTTCAGAAACAGTGATAGTATTGTTCAAAGCAGTCAAGTCATGACTTTCAACATTATTAGAGAAGAGATGTTCTACATTAGTTGATTTCAGTGTATCTGGATCATAATGACCTCCTACTTCAGCTGTTATACAAGACGACTGATGACTGTTCAAGATAGATTCAATACCAATAGAAGTGGAAGTGGGGGTCGCAGTGTTGATAGAGTCACTTACACCACATCTATCATCAATCGGATGTGTGTAATTCACATCTTCTAAACCGACAGAATTAATATCATTCGTTATAACAGGGTCAATACATGGTGACGATGTTGAAGACGAGGATAATGGTGTTCTACCATGAAGACTACCATTGCTAGAAATTATTTTCTGTGATATCGGTGACAATGACGAAGAATTCATTCCATCTTGACCAAATGAAGTTGTTTGAGAATCTATTATGCCTTGTTTAACTTCATCAGTGTTATTTCGATAATTCAGTATACAACTGGTCTCATTATCAGACAAGTGATCTTTATCATCATCACCATTGTCTTGAATCGGTTTAATAATCTCTTGTTCGCCTTGTTCATTAACATCACTGTTTAGATTTCCGTGGAATAAAAAATCGTACATATGATTAGGTGTATTAATATCATCCTTATTTGTATCATTATTGCTTAAATGATGATTGTTTGCAATTGAATCAATATCAGCATTATCACTGATTTCACTTTTGTTCACAATACCACGGTTCTCTTCATTCCTATGCTTATCCAAACCATTAGCATAACTGTTTACAATATCTATACTATTCCGATTGTTAGGCCATTTTTCATAATTATCTTGACTAGTTTTCATGCTTTGACGAAACATTGATGCTATCGGTGCTGTTGTTACCGTGGCCGTTGTTGTTAACAGTGTATCAGATGATGTTATTAAACCAGTTGAAGTCAACAATCTTGGAGATGTTGGGGAAGATGAAAAATTATTCATATGACTATAAGTAAAAGTTTGATTGGAATTCATTTTTGACAAAGACATGTGTTGCTGTTGTTGTTTTTGTTGGTGGTTATTATTAGTTGTAGTACTGGAACTTGTTTCCGACAATTCTTCGTTATCATTATTACTATTATTATTATTAGCATTAGTCGTAATAGTAGTAGTAGTATTGCCGTTCATAAATAAGGGATTCGATTCAGTTAAATGATTAGTTTGTCGACAATGTTGATGAGCTGGTGGCGGCAACTGTGGCATATTTTCACTAATTGAATGTTGATTAGGCATACTGTCATTACTACTACCACCGCTACTATTACTATGTGCTCTATGCATAGAATGAATATGTGAATGTTGTTGTTGGACTGAAGTGTTACCACTATTATTATTATTATTATTATTATTATTATTATTATTATCACCAGTATTAATGGAACCATCCACTGATGTTGACATTGTCGTCGTCGGTGTTGTTGAGGTAGTCGGCGTGGAGATATATCGATCTAGTGGTGATATTGTTGAAGAATTAGTTGCTGATGATTCAATCACTGGTGAACAAAGACGTTTTGAATTAGTCATACGATGTTGTGTTAAATTAAGCAGGTGTTGTTGTTGTTGCTGCTGCGGCTGTTGGGTTTGTGAATCATTTGTCGCTGGAGATTCCGAATATCTATGATTATTCGATGTTGGTGAATGTGCTGTCGTATTTGTACTCGATGTCTTCATATTAGACTGACGTTTGGACGATGAATGAACAGTACGTTGGTTAGAGTGAATATGCTGTGCTGGTTGATGGTGATGGTTGTACTGTGGTTGTTGCTGCTGTTGAGATTGTGCATGATGATTTGGTGACATATTATTCATATTTGAATGTCCAAAAGGGCTTACGTGTTGGTTATCCTCTTGAAAATGTGATAGTCTGGCATTGTTTGCTGCTTGTTGATGACGATGTGATGTAACGCATTGTTGTTGAACAGCTGCAGCTAAATTTTCAGCATTTGGAGCGTGTATACCTACCGGTAAGTGGTGAAAAAGTCCAGCACTAGACATTGAACTATAATTTAATGCATTATTAGGTAATAAATCACATCCATTTGGACTAGTTCCTCTTGTCTCACTTGTGGCTGAATTAAAAAATGCGCATGGATCTTCAATGTCACCACGATTTCCAACATCAACACCTACACCGTTACTACTGGCCACCGCAGCTGCTGCAACAGCGCGTAAATGTAAGTCTTGATGTGCGTGAGCAGCAGCAACAGCAGCCGCTGCCGCAGCTGAAGCAGCAGCTGGATGTGGATTATGTGAATGAATACCTCCAATCCCACCACCTGTCCCATGTGGATGACGAGCACCACCAGTGATATGTGAACCATGCTCCATGACATTTCCTCGACTAAGAGCTGAGGCAGCAGCTGCAGCCATTGCAACAGAGTGATTATGAAAACCAGCAGCAAATAAGTTATCTACACAGGTTGGATTCCTCATATTATTACTACTGTTATTTCCACTGTTATTATTATTAGCGTTTGATCCATTCCCATCAATACCAGCTGTTGCAGCAGCCTCTTTATGACGATCCACATGTTTTGCTAAATATGTCTCCGAATTATAACTCTTCGTACATATAGGGCATACTAAAACCTGTAAAACAGAAAAAGTATGTATAGTTCTGCAAAAAAGTTAAAAGAATGCATAACATAATCCTGTGACAGAAAATAGTTGTCCATAGCTTCGTATGGATTATCTCCTGTAGCCTAACGTCAAACAAACTACAGCACAGCGTTGTGTCATTCAGCCTAGTGGTCTAAATGTAAACTTCATCGTTACACTTTAATCAGTAATTAAGTAGTGAAACCCTCACAGATAACGGTTTAATGTGCAAGCATATCGTTAAACGAAGAGAATACACGAAGTATCAAACTACGTAGTTTGGAAAGGCTAAAAGTTGTCTAGAATAATTCCGTTAAGCTTCAATTCATAATCAACTGATGACAAATATTGTGTAGACTTATTTATACTACTTGTGAGTAGAACAAAAGCAATAACACATTTAATTACAACCTAATGTAAAAAAATTGTTTCAGAAGTCAAAAATCAGAATGAGAATAAAAAAAATAAGTCTTCTTACAAGTGCTTGATAAAAAGTTGGCATCATTATATAGCTAATTTATAAGTATGAATCACAGAAATGGCTTGTAGTAGGACCTACTTCCCTTGTTGGTTATCCGGAGGTAATCGGCAGGAAACCCTCGACCAAGGCTTCATGCTTGTTGGCACTGGACAGGACCGACATCCTGCCTGAGATTCGAACCGGCATAACCTATTATCGTAGCGATGTTACGACTAAGCTATTCTGGCAGCATCTGACTTCTTGTTGGACTGGATTAGGTACATTTACCGGTCGGTCACTTGAGAGCAACTGATTTCAGGTTTTCTAGTCTTGAGTGCTGATCGAACCCTACTGATCATTCTGCAGTGTTGTCACGAAGCTAGGAGGCTCACCATAGCGGTACACTTTGACGAATATTGGTTGTTTGGAGGTATTACTTACACTAAACCAGTATGGTATCAATCTTTTATCTTTCTCTATGAGATTTAATAAATGCGAAGAGATCTCTGTGTATGCGAATGATGACTGAATTTTGAGCCGAAAATCTACTTGTATGAGGACTTGAACCGGTGGTCTGAAAGTTAGCGGTTTGACACTGCTGCACATAGGTATCAGCCTACCAACCGTGCCAGTCCTTCTTGATAGCGATTTTGATTGGGCTGTAGAGGCCTGGCTAGGCAGCGATTGAGAAGTGTAGATCAGTTATACCGTCATGAAATTTGAGCGTTTTGATTTCGCGTCATTTTAAATACCCTATCTAGTGGTTGCAAAATCCGTCTTCCATTTACTTTCCACTCAGAAAGAGACAAGACTGAATCAGTGGGGTACTCTTTTTTTACTACAGAATATCTATCTCTGACATACTGAGTGGTTTTCCATCACCAAATTCAAAACAGAAAGACTCATTGACCTCAAAGGTGAAAAAGTATCATACCGACATCAACCTACTTTTATACCAACATATATTTTGAGTATTCTATCCCATTCCGAACTTGTCAGCTGGATGTATCGGTCTCCAAGTGAATGATGGTGTTTCCACTAGAACTCGAACTCAGGACCTATCGCTTCAAACACCAGAGCGTCACTCACTAGACCACAGAGTCATAATAGCCACTTCTTGTGGGACGGGTTATAGTTTTAATGTAGTTGCTTGTATTATCCCGTCTTTGAGTGGACCGAATTAATTGGTCTCTATTAGCATATGAGCTCTTACGTGGATGCTTTGATATTGCCTTTGTTTCAATTTTATATTGATGACAGATAGTGGTTAACAGTGGAATCCACAATGTACATTTCGACCAACTTGGGGCATTGTCAGCTGGATGTAACTGCCTCCTAGTGAGTGATGTTGTTCCCAATCAGAAATGGCAATTCTACGAACACTTGCTTTCATTTTACCAATATTCTCTTGCCTTGTTTAACACCATTATAAATTTTAGCTAACACAATTTTTACTGAATGTTAAGTGTAAATCATAATTCTAACTGAATTCATTTGAAATGTATAATTAGAGAATAGTAATAATTGTAGCCTATTAGTTCTACAATTACGTCATTCTTGGTTGGTAGCAATGTTAGCAACTATGTTAGACGGGGGTTGAGTGATAGTAATGGTGTGAAGCACTCAGTCAGTTTGTGTTTCCATACCTCTTTCTTATCATAAATTGTATATTATAATTTTCAATGTAATTCGTCAAAATGTCACCGTATATTTTGAAATGGAATAAAGAACACACTGAATTGGTTGTCTGCGTGATTGCATGTACACATCTTTGTATGCAGAGATGGGGACCTCCTTTTAGCATAGACATTGATGTCACACATGGAAGCCGTAACAGAGAACATAACTGAGAAGAGCAGTCCTATAAAATGATTTCAAAGGTCACCCTCACAACTGCTGAGATAACCAATCAGATTCAATATTCTAGCTTGGAAGGTAGTTTTTCACAGAATGGAGAGACGTAATTTTTTATTTCAGTAGTTTTTAGGCTGGCCTATAAGGTCACTCTATTTATATCGAAGATATGTTGATGATATCCTATTTCAAGTCACTCCACTTCAATTCTAAACTGATTGAATGTAGTACAGAACAGCATATCGTTGACGTGTGTAGAAGAGAAAGATGATTAGTTGTCTTTTGTAGACGCGAAAATTAGTCGACGATAGGATGGGTCTATAAAACGATCCGTCTACAGAAAATTGAAATAGAAAGTGCAATATCTGTATTATTTTAGCTTTCGTTCGGTTCAGTACAAGTGAGTGTTAGCTATGTGGTCGCTCATTCAATAGAACTCAACAAATATCCATAGATGACACTTTGGAAGATGAGGTAAAAACTCTGACTGAAACATTGTTGGGAAAAAACTATCCATCAAAATGTATTAGTTGGTACAAAGTAGCCAGAACACCAGGAACTGCTCTTCACTTTGTCCCGAAGAAGGTCAATTTCATCATTCTTCTGTACGAAGGTGATTCTCATACAACAGACCTTAGGCAGAGACTTAAAGTTGTTATTAGGACTTGATATACAGCTGGGGTTTGATTACTAAAAACCCTCAAGTATGTATACTCTCCCGATCCCGTGCATCATGTGAACGATAATGTCATATCTCAAAGCATTTGCCATAGGTCAATGCAAGTAAGAGCCTTGAGCACATTCCAAGGTGATTTGAAAAGAGAATTGAATCACCTGAACCCACAAGTGTTGATAGTAAGCATCCAAGTTCTTCGATTGTGTAACATATCGTTGAGACAGACCACAGGATTGAAGTTTCTACGCCGTTTACATCTATTTACAAAATGTGTTGGAAACAGATCATTAAGTTTGTCTAGGCCTTGGCTATTGGGAAGCTTAAGCCAATTTGGTGTGTTCAAAAACAATTTGTTGTCAGATTAAACCTTCCTCTTGGTAAATTTAACTCTGGAACCAAGTTCACTATACCATTATTTTTGGTCTGTTGATTTTAATTGTAAGTTTTGTCTCTAATTCAGACTTCCTACTTGACCACTTTTCATGTTCTCACCCCATACATCTCTATAAACTTTCATATAAATACCTATGACAGGCATGTGTATGACCAGATTTTTTGAAATATATTATGTAAATACATTACACGATCCAAATGAATTACATCTTACCATAGTTTTGTCAGAACTTTATATAGTGGATTCGAACCAAGAGAAGGTGGATGATTGCGCTTATGTGATAAGTAAGCTAAATCAGGCTACCAATAGAAAGACTAATTGATTGTTTCACAAGAAAATGTTGTTAAAATTAGAAAGATTTTAATCTACTTGGTATTCATTTAGATTAGTGTGTCGATTGCTCAGCTTCAAAGAAATTGACTCGGGTGTGTATAGTCATGTGAATTGGTCATTTCAGGCATCGATATGTCTGTTCTTTTCATTCTCCAGTATCGTTTAAAAGGGAATTCTATTTCCTAAAATATCTAAAATGTATTCAAAATATACATATTCTTGCATCTATCATGTTGAGCACACTCAAATATTCTGATTATGTCACCTGTATGTATGATTTATGTTTGAAATACCCAACTCCTATCCTCTGAATAGATTTGATCTCTAGGTACTTATTTAAATAGTTGATTGAGACAGTTTTGTTCTCAGGTTTAAACAGTTGAAAGCAGCATGCATAACATTATCATGATTCATTACTAGATGTATACAAAAAAATACAACCTAAGTTAACAGACACGCTGCGAGATCTAAAAGTTAAGCAACTATGACTATTTTAAGATAGCCAACTGCCCCGTCATCTAATTAGTAACGTAGCTATCTTAAGCTGCTAACTAAATGCCTAACTGATGGCGTACATTTATTAATCTCTGGTTGAATAATTGGCTTCCTGGCGTTTCTGATGGCTAACCATACAGGTAGTAAGGGCTGGAACGCCTGGGTACCGCCGTTTAACAGCAGTGTGAGGGGGTCACCATTAGTTGAGTGACAAGTATGAGACATAACCGGCCTTAACAGAATGACCTAGACCAGGTACTGGCTTCCTTCAATGTTAAGAGGGTGAGGGCATATACTTGAGAGTTTTATGATCTACTTCGTTTATAAGAATGAATGGACTGTTGTGTATAGCGTTTTCATGCACACCCTCCTAGTCGAAAGCCAGCCCATTAGTCACTGACGTTTAGATGACCTGAAAACAGCTAGAGCTTGTAAAACCTCATAACATATTCACTGCGAGATCTCAAGGTAGTGGACTGGATCTTCTGTGAAGTTAATGGTGTGCATTGCTAACGCGTTGAAAATATGGAAACAATAATGGCCTAATACCCCGTTTCCAGATTCTCATATTTCCCTAGTTGATATCCTATGATGATGAGGGGTAGGAGGCGGCAAATACAACCAAAATGTTTGAATTGCTGACCTAATTGTAGACAAAAACTTAGTTGAGCGAATTTATGCGGTTCATTATTTCAAGGTAGTATTCACCACAGATTGACATCAGTTGGCAAACCACTGGAAACCTTGAAGCACTCGACAATGTTTTCGTCCTAGAATGGGACTCCTCACCAGTGCACATCTGTGACCTCGTGAGGGGTCCAGCACAGAACCTTCACAGCTCATGGTGAGCACGTTACCATTCGACCGCTAGGTTAGAGTTCAAAGGCTCATATTTTCCTACTTCTGTCCATTTGCGACATACAGCGACTACCAACCGATGCTATAAGCGAGTTGACCAACCTCACATGTTACTACTTTTCATCAGAAGTTTGAGAAATCCATCCTAAAGCAAGTAAATAATGAGATCTAAACAGTAATTCAACCTGTGGCTTATGTAGATTGATTTGATGTTTTAGTATCATCATCTACTTGCTACATGGAAAGGACATGCAAGTTACTGAGGCCAAGTGGAACTGTGCCCCATTTGTTTAGGAAGATAACTTTCTAACATTAAATTACAGGTTCAAAAACCTCCCGAGGTTTGGGCAACGACATAGGAGTATCATTAGTTCTCTCATACTAGATGTGGCTCATCACCAACCACACGGATGTGTACAAGGTTGTTAAGTGAGCGTTTCGGTTTCGACTTCTCACCAAAGTTGGTTTCTACTCATAACAATGAACATCCATAATCGATTGTCACTGTCTTATGTATAATGGACATAGCTTTAACAATGTCTTGTAAGACACAAATCAAAAGCTTATCGTTTCTTTATGAAGTAAATACATCGCTACAAGACCTTTTTACATCTTAGTCTTACCTCTACCATTAGTGGATGCAAAAAACGACAGTGAATGACTAAGCATGCGTAACTAAGCTAACAATCATCTGAATCTTTAAAGGTTAAGAACCCTTATCATCAAGTGATTTACAAACAGCCGCATGAACTACCCCACTACTGCTATTGTACACGTTGTGTACAATATAACGCTTCTTTGAGACTGAAAGCATTGCCAGTAAATAGTAGTATCTTAAAGATAATTTCTCAGCACAGACTACCACAAATTAAAGGATTATTGAAGACCATAGTCGGCATTGTACAACTATGGTTGGTTGGAGGCAATCGATAGAAAGTCTTCCGTCTAGGTTTTGGGTACTTGTCATAATCACAGTAAGGCATATCTGCAACCTTGAGGGGAATAATGTTTGCTCTAAGGTTCTAACTGTCGCCTCAACATCGGCCACATCACCCAGTGCTGCAATCAGAAGTGTTACCACTGACCTATTCAAGTCGTGACTGCCTTCTTGTAGGATTGAGTTAGACACATTGACTGGTTACTCTTCAGTGATTATTTCTTTTCATTTTGACACCGTTCAGTAGCTCATTTCTTCTATGAACAGTATTATCTTAAAGATAAGTAACAAAGTTAACTCATTGAAAAATTGAAAAAATTGACTTTTCAATGGTGTACTTGTTTTTTTCACGCACTTTTTTACTCACCTTCGCATATCGGTTACCCGAATGCTTTGCTTGTACATGAACGTCTAATTCTTCTTTTGTATCAAATGACATAAAACACTGTTCACAACGATATGGTTTACCTTTCATATGTTGACGTTGATGTGACTGTAAATTAGACATTTGTGTAAAACTCTTCATACATGTTGTACAACTGTATATGTGTAAAGAGAAAGGTGGACAATAAAAGTAATAATCATAATCGGAACCAAAGGATGAATTACATGTGATATAAACTATAGTGCATGATATTAGTATCCGTAATAATAACAACAGTGGAACTGCAGATAACTGCCAGTAATGTATGAAGTGTTTGCAATGAATTTGTATCTTCAATGCCAGGTGTAGTCAGTAAGGAACCTGTGTATACCCATCAAAGACTTATGCACATTAGTACTCACCGCTAAGGTCCATTACCAACCATTACCAAAGATAATCACGTTCGCGTGGAGGCTTAAATTTGCATGACTCAGAACATTCCCGATCAACTATACATAAATAAGACTCTAGACGGTAAAAGCTGCGACAGGTTACCGATCGATCAAGTTGGCATTGTAGTTACTAATCTAAGTGAAGTACGATGTGAAATCTAGGCTTTTCAGTTTCATGTAAATTTGTCCTGAACAACAAACACTAAACGGTGTACTACAAGCTTGCATTATTATTATCATGATTATTTGTACCTTGGATTCCCAGTGGAACATAGGGCTTCAATAACATGTCTCCACTACACTCTCTTCTCTACAATCTTTTCAACCTGGCTCCACGACTGCCCACTAGTTCTCACTTCTGCCTCGTCCCGTCTCCTTCATGTCACCCTCACCTCGGACGCCCAACTCACCATTTCCCATCTGGCTTCCACTCAATCGCCTGGCCTGACGCTCCATGTCCCCAAACCGTCTTCTCACTGCATGTCCCATCCAATCCATCTCCACTTCCTTCCAGTGCATATTTGTTGACTCATACCTTCTGGCTTCGTTCGTTCTCAGACCACAGTTCCTTGTTGCTTATTCTTATTATTCTGGCCATCTGATCTTCAGTAACGAGCCAGTGTAGGCAGTTGTTGGTGAATATCTGTAGTTTGCTAAAAATGCCTTTCACAACGCGCCATATCTCTCAACCATCACATAGAAGCACTGACTTACCTGACTGGATTGGTGTTGAAAATCCGGATGTTGCTCACGCTTTATGCTGAGTGGGGTGCAGTAGATCTCCACACTGGTTTCAGGTTAATGAACGCCTTTCTTGCTGTCTTTCTGATCCTGGCTGGCTTTGATGTCCTCGTCTGTGCGCCGCCACCTGTAGTTGAGACAGTGCTGCCTAGGAAGGTGGGTGAAGTAGGCTACTTCGTTGAAGTTTCTCGCGTTGATGGTGATTGGAGCTTCTTGTTGTTGTTTTTGTTGTTGTTGTTGGTGTTGGTTGGATATCACCACCTCTATCTTCTCTACGTTCACTTGAAGTCCCATCTTCTCTGTCCTGCCTTGCTTCTTCTGTCAACTTGTTAGTTTTCGCCTGTAGATCTTCAAGTTTGTGTGACATCAGACACATGTCATCGGCGAAATCCAAGTCTTCCAGGTTCTTTTCCGTGGTCCAGCGTACCCCCCTCTTCTCGCTCCCAACTGTTTGCTGCATGGTCCAGTCGATCACAATCAGGAATATCATGGGTGATAGTAGGCGGCAACCTTGTCTCACTCATGTCTTCACTCCACTTCAAAAGCATCACTGAGTTTCCCATTGTGAATTACTTGGCTGGCATGTGGTGTCTTCATATAGTTATTGTATAAAGCTGATAAAGGTTTGCGGTATTCCGTAGTATTGAAGCAGTTTCCAAATTACCTGTCGGTCGACTCTGTTGAAGGCCTTCTCGAAGTCGATAAAGTTGAGGTAGAGAGTTGACTGCCATTCTATACTCTGTTCTATGATGATGCATAGAATGGCGTCGCAATTTGGTCTGCACATGATTTGTACTTCCTGAAGCCTGTCTGTTCCGGTAATTTTGAATGCAGTGCATTGTTTAATCTCTCTGGGATGATGCAGCTTAATATTTTGCTTGCTTTGGGTGGACAGGAGAGTGATTGCAAGCCAGCTCTTGCAAAGACTGAATTAGTTAACAGATTAATAGCCAAATCGGAAATTTGATTAGTACATCTCAGATGACAAACCCATTAGTTTCTCTTCTTTTATCACCTAGTTTGATAGATCTGTATTGTCATGATGAGCAAAATGAAGAAGGGTATATACTGAAAGGTTTTTTTAACTGTAGTTATTGTATTTACGTTTGATTATTGTTACATCGTTTAAACGCCTAAAGATTCCTATAACATTAATAAAAAGCTACAATCTGAACAAAGAATATTCTTTTCAATAAATTGTCATCAGGTTCTACAATTATAACGTACAACGTAAAATCAAGCCAAGTTAGGTCCAAATGCACTTTCAAAATGGGGTGAGATTTAGGGACTGTATGGAAATCGATTTTTCTCTTTAAATTTATCAATACTAGGATGGTGATAGTGAATGAAAAGACAACAAAGATGGGAATAGCCACTGGTTTAATGATGGCTATGGGAGAAATAACTTTTGAACATGATCTTTCTGAACGTACAATTCAAGTTTGATCATTCATATTGTGATAGCTTCAGCTAGGCTGAGCAAACGTTGGCAAGCTACACGTCCTATTGTTTTCAAAGTATGATGTATGACACTTATTGCTTTAATAACATCTATGTGATGCCCTGTGTTTACTAAGTGCACTAGGATGAAACGTTTCATCACTTTCACTTCACCTTTTCCGAATGCTCTTGTATACAAAGACGCAAATGCCTAATCTTCGGCGGGAACAGTTAAGTTGATTTATCTAGGAAGAAGAGCTAAAATAAACCAGATGATCCTTTAATTTCGGATTGAGCATTGTCCGACATGCATAAAAGGTTCGATTGACTACTCTAACTAGGATGTCACTTAAAGCGTCTCCCTTGAATTATAAACACAGAAACAAAGGCTTCTTCTCCACTATCATTAATTCTCATTTAGGACCAGTGTGAATAATGTTAGTTTTTAAGATGTTATCTGGATATAATTGTAGAACCTGATGAGAATTTATTTTAAAAAAATATTCTTTGTTCAGATTGTTGCTTTTTTTCACTGTTTAATTTCTGTCTAGGATTCAATTTTCATGGATAGCGAATATTCAACTTCAGTATGTACAGCATTAAATCGCCAGTAGTTTTACAATACAATGGAGTTTTTGTATTACTTGTAAATATTTATTGATAAATTGTGTGGAGTTATGTGACAAAGAATAAGATGATGATTGGTTATTTTTCAACCCTCGTGATTGGTTTATAGAGTTGAGGTTTGATTTCGATGTCATTGGTTTAATCATTCTCATATTTGCTTTCACATCCAATTAAGTTTCTGTTCATCTTAACTGTGGAGATACTTTTTAGGGGTTGTTGTTTGACTTCAGCTCTAAAGATGGATCAATTTTGCCTTTCTTTTTAACTCTTCATTCAGTCAGCTCTTATTCAGTTGTATGTTGATGGTTGTACAGTCTAGCTTATACTGTTTGACGGACTGTTTCCTACTACTATTCGACATCGAGTTCAACTTCGAAAGTGAAGATACCACCTTCAAATATCTCTTCTGTTAGTCCTACAGTTCACTCAGCTTTTGATGTGAAAACAAAGGAAGACAATATCATCAATGGGCTTTAAGTAATAAATCGGATACTGTTCTTTAGACGATCACAAAGATTGAGACACTGGGACATGTAATACCTCAGAGAACAAATGTTTCCCCTCTTTATCTGAGATTTCACTAACATCCTAGCTAATGGTGAGCTATAAGCCTATTAACATCATCAACAATGATAATAGTCAGGACTTCTCATTCAAATCAACCTAAATTAGAGAGCACATGTATCGTATTGTTCATTAGTTTAACTATCTGAGATAGCCATGGTTTAGAAAACTTCGATTGATAGTGGGTTGGGATGAGGAGTTCTGGCTCTGAATACGATGAAAGTACATTATTGCATCATGAATTCATATGTAGTCAGGCAAGATCCTTGATGATTGAAGTAAAGCTAAGATGTGGTTGTTGGTTTGAATCCTGCCATGGATCAGGTTTTCATTTCACCTTTAAGTCTGTCAAACCAGAGCTATCTTAGATGGTCGGACTGATAATAACAATAAGAAGAACAAAGCCTTCTCTGTTCCATATACCAAATACAATTCTTTGTGTATATTTAGCATAATTATTCAACTTTTTCAATCCAACCCTGGACTTTTACCTGAAGGCTTTTTTCCCCTCTATAGTTGGTGGAACAAAGCCGTAAGGGAGAATATAAACACCCAAAATGTAACCTTCAAGGAATGGTAGACAGAATGTGTACTTCTCTTTTTTTTACAAATCTATTTCTGCTGGATTGATGAAATAGATGGGGATAGCGGGAGGAGAGAGAGAGAAAGAGGGGAAGAGGATGAAATACAAGTGACTTCAAAGGCCACCCTAACAACTGCTTAGATAACCAATCATTTTTCTTCATTTCAAAAATTACTATCTTCCCAGCCGAAATACCGAAAGGTGATTGGCTATTTCAGCAGTTGCTAGCATGGCCTTTAAAGTCACTCATGGAACAATTGAATATATGTACATGTCCGAAAACTGTGTTTGACCTAAATTTAGGCCATTTTTCATCTATAACAAACACAAAGGCATGTACACTTGTATATAGAGACAGTGATAGATGAATGTGTGTGTGTGTGTATGTGTATATGTGTGTACTTTTATACTGTACTTATATACTGCGAGCGTGGAGTTGATTACAGAAGAAACAACATAACATGAGGCAGACAAACATCAAACATTTTTTTTAAGAAAGAAAAGAATCATCATTTAATTTTTAAAATAAATGCAATTGTCGGAGAAGAATACTGAAAATATATTGTCCAGATCTAGGTAAAAATATATAATGCCGTCATTTTTTTTCTTTATGTTTTTTTCTGTTTGTAACATTTCTGATTGCGAAACCTCCGACTAGATGTACATGCATGTGTATGCATTTTCTACCCGCTGAGTTCCGTACCTTTGTCTGTCTGTATATCTATTTGCCTGCTGCTAGTTGTTTGATTAATTTCATTTACACTTAGTCCAGCTTCTCTTTCTCGCCTTATTTCCACTGACTATTACTACCAACGTTGCAGACTCTTCTTGTATCTCCTACCCCAACTTTTCTTTATTTTACAGTACGCGTTTCTCATTCAGCGTCTTTCTATATGCAATTCAACACTAAGGTATACCGTAGTATAATCTAGCGTTGTAAACGTATATACACACACACACATACTCATTGGTAATGCTGTCAACTTCACTTTTTTTAAATTTCCCATGTATTCCTCCTCTATAATAACCACTTACTGTACACATTCTGTTTATAATACAACCATTTCCATCCTTCTACACACACACACACACACGTACACGAATGCTAATATGTTCGTACGGCACATCTGAACTATACTAATAAACATGTCACAGTCAGTGTAAAGTACATAGAGAGACAGAATGAGAGGAAACTGGAAGCAAACTTTGCCTACACCTTCATTACATACAACATAATAATAAATGCATGAATAACCGACCCCAAGAAGAGCACAACAAGAAGATTTCAGCGGTGATATTTTTACTATAGTAGTAAACGTGTAATGGATTAATGGATAATAACTGTCAGAGGGAAAAAAAACGCAAAATCCTCTAAACTAATTAATCTTGTTAAGTGTAATAATTACAACTAATAGAAGTAGCAAATAATAATAATAACAATAATAACGATGATGATTACTTTTTTATGCTTAGTCAAAGAAACTATAAATGTTACACTCATTAAATTCAATGTTCAATATCCATCTGATAGCGTTGTTTAAATAAACATTGTTGTAGAGTGGTGAGTATGAATGAATGAAAATCTCTTAACAGAATTATTGTTTGTAATTTTAAAAAGATATCAGATGTCAATCACGTGAAAGTATATAAATAGCAGGTTCATTTACAAAACTTTTGTATCATATATTATAAGGTATCCAAAGTTGAGATAATTAACCAACACATTATAATCATTTTGAGGTTGTTTATAAGACAAATGAAAAAAAAACTAGTTTCTATGACTCCCTAACAAGTAGCTCAGGTATAGAATTGTTGTGATTGCTCCCTCCTTTTTTGTTTTTGAATAGTCAGAATGTTCCAAAATACGGAACAAGTAAACTGATAGTCACACAGTGAAGTTGCTCAAAGACATATTTTTGTCCTCAGTGTATTGATAGATTAATTGTCTACTGGTGAATATAGTTCTTAGATTGGCTGCATGAAATTTTCCTCCGCATAAGCAGCTGAGTAGCATACTTTAATCGATAGATTGCCTGAAGATATTCAATTCATATCTTGTTGTCACGAGATTTTTCTGTATTTTCACAATTAGTATAAAGCGCACTGGCGACAAATTCTCATTTGATTGATCATGACAACCAGAATATTTTTCATTACATAGTGAAAATCCAGCTAACAACTGTTGTAAATAATTTTTTCCTTCTATTTCAGTAGAGATATGCTATAGTCACCGGTTTCACTGAAGCGTGACGTCAAATTTGCTGACATAACCTAGAATACAAAGTAATTCCCATTTCCATTGTTAATTGACTTGGTAGTAGCCAGCGGTGGAATTCGTTTCGTCCTATTCGCGACTCGTCAGGTGTATGTACCTGCACCCCCAGTGATTGATGTTGTTCCCGCTGAGACTAGAACAGCAGGAGATTACAAGTACAAACAAATACTAAGTTCCATTTCCATTTCAATTCTTGTGAGTGAAAACCAATTTTAGTGACTGAGTTTTTGTTTGTCTGTGTATATACGTATCTACCTAACCCATTAATAGACTTATCTAGGAGAACATAGAAACCGACACAACAGTACACTGATTCAAACTGCCGAAATTTGAATTTGACCTATAACCTTATTGAGGGCTGACTTCAGCCTACTTCTGTAAATGGAGGTGAGAAGTGTTTCATAGAAAGAAAAAAGTCGAAGAGCAGAGAACAAATCACTTACCGATAAGGCTTCTCGCCTGTATGTATTCTTTCATGTTGTTGTACATGGCTCAACTGAGTGAAACGGCGATCACAATAACGACAAGCATATGGTTTCACTCCGGTATGGATACGCCTATGTTGTGATAGATAAGCGCATGTTGAAAACTGTCTTCCACACTGTTCACACCTATACGGTCGAGGATCTTGTTTATGAGTAGCGGCATTATGCGCTGATAAATCATGACGTGAAAAGCATACCTATTAAGAGATAACACAAAACAACAATGCGAAAACACAGAGATTAAAACGTAGAACAGAAATGATATCGGTATGAAAGTTGACACTTGATATTGTCGTATATTTGGAAGTGATCGCTGGGAGGCTCCACTTAGCTTAACTTTAATGTCAGTCATTTCATATCTACGACCATCGAAGAACTCATGCACTGTAAGCAAATCCTACACTGAACCAAATAGTGACTCAACGAGACGAGACTATGGTGAAGCAACTGTAACCAAATTCTTGTACGACTGATTTAGTCTGACTAAGGGCTCATTAGAGCGTTACCATTGTCATTCTGTTCAGTCGATAGTGTGCAGGTTTTCGACAGATTCCTTACTACAATAAACCCAATCGTGCAGTAACAAATGTTTTGATTATGTTCCTCTTTGATTTCAGTGGCACTGTAATAAAAGATGGCTCCTTAGCTTGTGAAGATTCAGATACAGAATATCAGTAAGTGAATTTTAAGGTCACCCAAGTAACTAAAGAAATAGTCAATCAGATCTCTTCAGTTCAGCTAGTAAGGTAGTTACTCATACGATGAAGTGAATCCACTGGTTACTTCGGTGGTTGCTTGGATGGCCTCCAGGGTTGTACATATCAATCAGTCACACGCATATTTTGAATTACCTTAAGGCTGCTGACGAACGACTTTAAAGGCCGCTCTAGTAACTACTCAAATAACCAATCAGACTTCTATATTTTATGAAAGTATCTCTTCCCAGCCAAAATGGAGAGAGCTAATTGGTTGTTTCGTTGCCAGGATGGTCTTTAAAGTCACCCCTGAAGACTAGTGACTTTAAAGGCCATCTTAGCAACAACTGAAATGACCAATCAGGCTTTGGCACTTCGCTTGGAAAAGCATTTTTTTTTCTCCATAAAATAAAGGAATGTAATTGGCTGTCTCACAGTTGCTAGGGTGGCCTTTGAGGTCAGTCTTAGAGATATCCTTACAGACAATGAATAGACTCAAAAGACCATGTTAGCAATTATTGAAATTAACAATAAGGTTTCTTTATTCAATGGAAAAACAATTTTTCTAGATGAAATAAAGAAATTTAATTGGTTACTCAAGTAGGTTGCTAGCGTGATCTTCTCGTCATTCACATGAAGTACAACAACTTATTGTCTACAATACTAAGACAGAGAGAGAGAGAGAGAGATGTGATTGCTGATACGGTAGTCAAAGTTACTTCTTTTTTTAAATCAACTCCGTCAAACAAACAACAACAACAAAAAACACGTGAACAATGTAGTTAAACTTGAATACAATTTCACTTTAAACTAGATACAGACCACCAACACGTACCAGGTAGCACATTTTGATAACTGAAACGGATACTCTTTACCAGTTAGTTTAAGTGTCATTTTTTTTTTAAAATTCTCAGTTGACGAATTCAATAATTAATAGGTAGTGTTAGTGCATGAATGTGTGTGTGTGTGTGTGTGTGCATATGAAAATATCTGTATGCATGCACTTGTTGATGCATATAGCCTACTATCTTAGCACATGATGTTATCATTATAGATTAATTGAAACACAATTACTATGAAGTTACAAAATGATGACTTTTCTAAATATTTAACACCTGTGTGGTCATTTTAATATTGTCATTAGTATATTACGTGTATTGATTAATTGGTGAGGACGATATCTCAAATTATCAAATGGACTTATCGATCCGATAGACTAAACGTGGTGTAACAGCGAATGGTTTAAATTACTATTATTATTACTGATCAACTAGTGATAATAATAATAATAATAATAATAATAATAATAATAATAATGGCGGTAAAAGTAATAGTAATGATAACAATAGTGCTGGCAAATAATAACTCGAGACGTATAGAATTCCAAGTTATTTCAATACTGTTTGTTACATAAATAATACAAACATAAAATAAGAATAATAAAAACAGTTTGCTTAGACTGATCAATTGGTTTTTCAAAATTCAAAAATCCACGTTATCTTATTGATTTATTTAAACTTCATTGAAACTTGTAATCTTCATGGAAGAGATCATGTGTTCATCACAACGACTCATACAGAAAGTAAAGAGATTAGACTACTTAATCTAATATAAAAAAAGTACTTTTTCTCCTTGAGATAATCAACACAAATAACGATGTGAATTAATTAGAAATCATTGAAGCACTTATAAGGCCAAAAACTGAGGTTTACATGTTTATGCGTAAGTGGTTACACGATCCTGTTTGAATATACAAACAAATGTCAATAACTAATCGATAAAAACTGACGTAAAAAGTTCAACGGTGATTAGGGTGACTGGAAAGCAACTGATTCCATGTTCTATATCTTTGAGTGATAACCGAATTCTGTCGGTCATTTTACAACCTGATCATCAAGCTAAAAGACTCACCATTCCTGTGTACTTTTGATAAATGTCATTTGGTTGGATCGGTAAAATTCGGTCAGTACTCAGGACTAGACAATATGCAGTTAGTTACTTTCTAGTGGCCAATCGATCTATCTAACCCAGTCTTTCAAGAGGTCAGTCGTGGCCCGAATATCTTGGTGGTAACATTGCTGACTGCAACATTAGGTGATGTGAGTTTGGATCTGACAGAAGACATCAGTTCCCATGAGGTTGCAGATACACTTTACTGAGGAGTGCTAACAAGCAAGAAACTTAGGTTGAGTAGAGTCTCCTAATCATTACCGACAACTAATTAACAATGACCTTCAAAAAAATGACATTTTTAGTAAAGTGGAGCATTATGGATTTTTATCCCAAAAATTAATCGAATATGTAAATTGCTAAATACTTTACAACATGATCCAAATCAGTGGATTTTTCTAAAACATCAGCTGCTAGATGGTAAATCAACCTACTTCATGATCGATTAATACATGGTTCGAACACATAGGCAGTAAGTACTCGTAGGAGTAGGAAGAGAAATAGAATACGAACACTGATTTGGCAGTCGATGACTAAGACATGAAAGGTTCCCAACAATGCCTATTTTAAAAAAAATTTTATAATTGTTAAGGATCCATAAAGAACTTTTTTACAGACTAATCAACCCTGGAAATCATAATTAACCTTCCTGTAAGACATTTTTCATGTGAATTTGATTAGCTTACTTATTTCTGACATCGAAAACACTCCTCTGCTAACCATCATTTCAGTGTGGTAATAAATTTTTAAGAAAATCAATATCATTGATTTCTTTCAGTTTTTGTTGAGGTTAAAATTCAGGTTATTTCAGGCATTATTATTTTTAAAAAAACAAACAAAATAAAACAAGTAAAGCTATCTAAGAAATGAAGGTTACAACTTGTCACCCATCAAAGCCAAGCATGGATGAAACTGAGTCCTAAGGTAATGGGTATAAAGTAATTACTATCCTAAGCCTACTCTAAAACATACTAAACACTATTACTTCTAGTATAGTTTACAATAAATAGATTAAAACCGCCATTTTTCGGACCACTTCTTGTCTTTCTGTCATCTTCATTGAGCTGTTCGTTTCATTGTTCCATAACTCCAGTAAAGACATACATATACAGTGAGAGTATTCTCTATGGAGTGTTATAATAAAGCCTTATCCATTAAGACTGAACCGTTCCACGCTTAGTCGGTTACAGTACTAAAGTTGTAATAGACCCGAATTCTTGATAAAATCTGATCCAACTGGGTAACACTGATATTGTAAGTCGAATAACAGACTGTTAGATTATTCTGTTGAGTCTCGTAGAGCAGAGTACCAGGTTGATAATCCTGAAGTCACTGGCTTGAATCCTGCAGTAGCCCATTCAACCCCCAGTATCAATACAGATCTGTCAAACCACAGGTATCTTAGACAGTCAAACTGATATTTCGTTGATGTTTACATTTTTTGCATTGTGTTGACCGCTAATCAAATTACTGTAGCAAGAATAACAAATAATGAGTTATGTATTTTTGAATGAGTGGGGATTTTTAATTTCGAAGTAGTATTCATCATGGACTGACATAGTTGGGGAACCATTGAAAATCTGGGAGCACTGGACAGCTGTTTCATGCGACTAGTATGGGACTCCTCAGCAGTACGCACCCACCACCCGGCTAGGGGTGGAACTCAGGACGTTCAGGTTTCACGGCAAATGCGTTAACCATCTAGCCACTGGGTCGGTTTTTCAGTGGTTCACAATTTCCAACTTCTGTCAATTCACAACATAGCGTGACTGTTACCCAAGGTCTTCAGTTAGCATCTACTTCACTTCCGACTGAGTTGACAGTGCAGTGTATAATACTACTGAATTGTTGAGTGGGAAAAATAAACACATTTGATTGCCTTGCTATGTTGTTCCAATGTTTTGCTGCAAAATACTTGTTTCAAACAAAGATTTCCCCATATCTAAGATATTTCACTGATGTTAGCCTCTATGTTTGACAGTTTTAAACATTATACGCCATCAGAAAATTCGGTTCAATGTACAACTTCATGAATTTACAGATTGCTTTTTATTTATTCAATGATTTTTTCTGTTTATATTTCTCAAGTCAACCCAACCAATTATTAAATGCAAGACACGTTAATTAGAAGATTATTGTCTCTCTTTAAGGGTAGGATGCTTCAATATCTTGAATAAGCCATTATTCAGAGTACTATGTAAATAATTTAAACAAGCATATTCGTATCAAAAAGCTTTTGGAAAGTAAACATTATTTCCCAGGAAACCAACTGACTGAGAAGTAATATTTATATGCCTATATTATTTCTGTCAATAATAAGATTCATTCAACTTTATTAATGATGCGCCAGCATAAAGTATGAACAACATCCGATTCTCAACACAATATCAAGTTGGTGCGTTACGAGAAAATTTCCAACAAACAACTGCACACATACATCATCAACACCTGACACCTACACTCACTCCATACTCATCTCACACTGAACATGGAGATCGGATAGATACATAGATAGATGGATGATCAGAATAATAAGAATAAGCAAGAAGGAG